GTTATTTGTTGCCACTCTCCTCTGTTGTTCACACCCAGCCCTGCATGTAGCTTCACTTCTTTCACTCCTTCGTTTTTTCACTTATTCAGTCAGTATTTAATGTAGGCTAGTCCTATATTTTAGAATCTATATGATTTCTCATATTGGGATAAGGGCTTCAATATGGGGCGGGATGATTGTAGCACGTTTCTAATATGTTTTGAAGAATTTAGGAGAAACAATGTTAGCTATCAGTTATGGGAGTTGATTGGCATGATCTTCTACCTTACAATACAAAGTTTACAAACAATGGTCATTTTATTTTGGTAATATTTCGAGCAAAGTAACTTCATGATCACACCAACAGTTGGGATAATTTCGCAACATTTACTGCTCGAGATATTACCAAAATAAACGCATCATTGTGTAAACTTTCCACTTAAAATTTACTTATAATACATTAATTCACTCCACGATGTACAAACGTTTCGTTGGTGTACTCTGCAATAGCCAAAAAGCCAATTAGATGCACTTGACGATAATAACTCTCTCCGCCTACTGAAACCTAAAGTATTACCAGCCTGTAGCCAGATGACACGTGTCAAATCATATCTGATATTCTTTTTTTGTACATCGTATCTACACCTAATTGTGCGATTAAAGAATAAATTTATTAGACTTGAATAATTAAATATAACCAGTCCTTAAACTTATCGAAATACCTCGATACCGCTAAGGTATATTTTCCTACTACATTGCTTATCGTTGCTTGTTAGCAGTATATCGACGCAGCCATATTGTAATAACTACCTGGCCCAAGCCATTGCATTTAGTGTCTGCTTCGAGGTGATTTGAAATCGTCTTATATACGGGAAAGAGAGTAGTTGGTTCAGCAAAACTTTTGAAGGATTAGAGAGACAACAGGAAAGGAATAGTGGATAATGCAAATAGGTGGTTACAACCAGTAAACTACAATTTACTTTACTAACAACAGTAGTAATGATTGTAATGTGACGTTAAAGTAAAGGAAAAATGAACTGGTGTGTTTCGGTAATACACCATCTCCCCCTGCTATATGAAGGTGATGTGAGATGTAAATAGTAGTTTGTGACAAATTCAGTCTTAATCCAATGCAATTTATATGCGGTTGTGTGGTAACCAGATGTTCATCCTCTGTTAACTTTTGGCACACAGGCACAATTACTGGGACTTGACACTAGCTGTAGTTCTTGGCCTTAAGACTGTGTTCGACTCCGTCGATCGACATATCTTATGCCTTTTACTGGAAATCGTACTTAGTGCATAGCCCTACTGAAGGCTATCTGAACACTATTGGGTGTTAGTTTATGGTTAGGTATTAGTTCAGTTGGGCACATCAAGTAGTGTCCGTTAGTGGTAACGACTCTCTCCATTTTCATTTTATTATGGAAGTACGTAAAAGGATCTTACTTTTCTCGTCTAACTTTATTGGGACTGGTCTTAGCACAAGATACTCTTTTGTTAAGTATACAGGTGACGTAGTCCTGTTAGTTGAAGACGTTGGCATGATTGAGTCTTCTTAACACTGAGTGGCCATCTGAAAATGTTTGAGATGCCTTTTTCATCGCCCAAGTACAAACTACTGTTCGAGGATACTTCTGCGTTGGTACCTCTTCTGAGAATGAGGAACGAAGCAGTTGGGCGCGCTGATCACTTCGCTTACTTGGGAAGTCGGATCAACCCCAACCGGTCAATAGCCGACGAAATACCAACATGGATACAAAAGGTTCGCTTGACTTTTACCAAATTACTCCATCTATGCTGCGCTGTGATATCCGGTTGCTTATAAGGACTGGATAGTGCGCTGTAGTTCTTTTTGTTCCGCCATATGGTTGCAAAATATGGCAACTGAAGGTAGAGGACATGAGGCTTCAGGCGTTCGACCACCCTTGGCTTCCTAGCGTAGGCTGTGTCGTGTCGTTACAACGTCAGTAACGTAGAAGTCAGGTGTGGAGTTTTTGTCATAGGAGGGCATGCTTTGCGCATGTCTATTTGAAGTAGGCTGAAACTGAAAAAGGGTTATACGTGGCTAGACTAGTACATGGCATCAGTCACTGAAGTCTGACCATTAGTGTTAGCTGTGTAGGGGAATAAAAACTTCGCGGTTAGGCTTTGCTTAGAATTGATTTCAATGACACAGATGCATCCACACATTATTTTGATCTTAGTTGTCGAACTGAATTTCATTATGCTCTCATTCTCCATTGCTGTTCTTTGGTAGCTCTACCACTTTTGACTGCTTTCTTTATGTTTCATCTAAGTGCATTCCTGTTTGATTTGCTGGCATGACGTTTAACTTTAAACCGGGACGCGGTAATACCTTTTCAGATGTTGATTTTGTTTGTCTGTCTGAATAATGAACTAATGTCTGCGTTTAACAAGATTATGCCATCTGAGTACTCTGAATCAGTTAGATTATTCTTAGACAGAAAATCAATTTATGAGTTGTATTTAAGCATAGTCACTTCCAGCCATAATAATAACAGTAGTGCAATGCAACTCAACTTGGTTGGTGTTTATATAATAAGCTGTAAGACACTTGTTGTGTAAGGGCCTGTGAAACTCCTCGGTTGCCAAGGTCGAAGTAGACAGGGCAGGGTTTACACTTGGGACCCATTACTTGGAAGTCGAGTTCTCAAGTAAGTGGGCTGTCTCCACTTCATCTTTAACAAAGTCAAGTGGAAATGGTGATTAAACATCTTTGGTAGGGACTTCTGGTCATCATCACCTGAGATTACGACTCTCTGTAGGCTCTTACCAGGCTGTATGAATTTGATTTGAAAACCGCAAAAATTGTCCTAGTTGGACTCAGCTTCTTGATTTGGTAGGGAATCTCAGTTGTGTAAAGCCAACAAAGTAATTGTACTAAAAATAATTCAGGATCATCCGCTACATATATCACGCTAAGGATATGTACATGAATGCGACGTATGTTTTTCACAAGTAGACAGAATTGCATAAGAACTCGCAACAAGGTTCATCGTTTTGGCTCTCGATACTTTCCATTTTGGTGGAAACAGAACAAACTTCAGTAGTGAATGAGTACAAAGGGAGCGGATGAACAAGGGAGTAGTAAAATGTTCAAAATTCTATGGTCAGAGTAAATGCATCTTGATTACTATTGTCAACTTTTAATCTTGGTACATAAGGTTTCTAACCACTGATTTCTGTTATTTTACGAAACCTACATTTGTTCATATAGCTCACATCAACAGTCATTGACTTTGAGCTAGCGTTGGTATACTCGTCCATCCATCATGAAACTCTTTTGACCTAATTTTAGTTTCATCTCGTGCTTAAGCACTTGGTTATGACCACTACACCTACTTGGGGAGTTGGATCAGTCCGAACAGACAGCTTGGTAACGGAATCTTTTTTCGGATGCAGAAGGCCCGTTTGGCATTTATCAACTTGCATCGTCTATGACGCCGGCGAGATATCCGGCTATCTATCAAAGGACGAGTATACTGCGTTGCAATCCGTTCTGTCCTGTTATACAGCTGTGAGACATGGGCGTTAAAAGTAGACCTGAAGCGATTCCAGGGTTTTGATCATAAGTGTCTTCGTAGCATTGCTCGCTTATGATGGAATCATCGTGTGAGCAATGTTGAGGTCAGGCGAAGGGTACCAGACAAGATAAGCAAGTTGATTAATGAGATTGTGGACGTTGGTCGAATGAGATGGACTGGACATATGCTGCGCATGCCAAGCACCGCGTACCTCGACGTGTCATGCTAGGGGAGGTTGGAGAAGAGTTCAGAGTAGGCAGACAAAGACGTGGCACCAGTCGATGAAGTACCTGACTGTTGACTTGAGCGGTGTGCGGGGGTGCAGACTGCCTTATTGGGGTCCTCGAGACAAAAGAAGTCAGTGGTTGGTGAATGATGTTTGATGATATGGCTGGAAACCAGTCAGAATGGCGCAGATGTATTCACTGTTTGACATCTAAAGCTTGAATATTCTCACTATCCGTCATCTTAAGATTGTTTATTCTGTCACACAACTTTGTCTATTTTGGTACCACTCTTTGTATTCGCTTGCTGTCAAATGTGACAGCTTGAGATGATGCACATGTGTGTGTGAGGTCCTACGCTGATTTTGTCAGTCGGTCACTCTGGTGCATAACTTAAGTTACTTCATTAATCAAAACCTGAAAAAAGTGCATAAGTGACTGAATATGGGTTTTCGTTGGACTGCATTCATGGTATGGGAAGATAATACTACTTAGCATAGAGAAAAAGTAAGTTTAGTTATATTTTGAACTCCTAACCATTGTTGTTGTCAAATAAGTAACTGAGCAGTGAATCTACAACTCACCTTTAACAGAATAAGATGTATTGCTTAGGGATTACAAGAATATCTGCAGAGATTTTTGTACATCACTAGCTATTTAAAAGATACCGTTGTGAGTAGACATCCTAATTCGTGTGAGCTTGTAAATTTTTGAGCTCAATTACCGTTATAATTGAGCTTCAAAGAAGTACGTAACAACCGTATTTAATAACAGTATATAAACTAGAAGGTTAAAAGAGATTGCCATAGATTATAGTCCAACAAAGACATCAATAATTACTTCAAAGATTGACAAATATGTTCCTCCTAACTCAGCATTCCTTATACTGTTGACTTTTCGCATTCTGTCGCGAAGCCATTATCACATTTCCACAAAGGCATAGTTACTGTTAATTTTCGAAAGCTTTTACTTTGGATTTGCCTATCAGTACTGATGCACATAGTAATTAGTTCCTACTGATTAGTAGTGTTTATATGCTCTAAAATCCTTATAGTGTACAAAACTTGAATCATGAACAATTTTCCAAACTCTTGGGGATATTTAATCTTTTTATCTGGTATTACTAACTCAACTGCGATTGTTGCCGTTTTGACGCACTTTGGTGAGTGATTCTTTTTGTAAATTAAAGCCAAATCTTTAATCTTATTTGCTATAGCTTGCTTGTTTCAGAAATATATCTTAATAGCCCATGTCGGGTAACAGCTTGCCAAGGACCATATTACATGCCGTTTACGGAAATACAACTTCACGGTTTGTTCCTCAGTTGCAACGAATAACACTGAAGTGCTGTAAATCCCGAAAGGATAGTCAAGGTGTCAGGTGGGCAGTCTCTTTTATTTAACTTCAGTTGGTAAATAACAGTTTTAATAATGGCTACTTTTAGCATTTTTATGTTTTACAAACATACTAAGTATAATTACTGTCCGGTTTTCTCCGCTTCACTAAAGTTTTAGAGATTTTACTTTGTTCATAATTTGGTACAGGCTAATTACACTAGATACTGAACAGTTTTCGTGGGTGTTTACATCATGGTGGATTACATGTTATTGATTGCAATCAATCAATTGGAATTAGTTAGTGCAGCATTCATGTTTCTAGAGCCCTGTTTTGTACTATCATTTCATTTTGTCAATTGAAAATCTCAGTGCACTTTACTGGTTATCAAAGCGAAAACAGTCGTTATCAGGGTACTCTACTCTACTTACATGTAACTGGTGATATATGACGAATATTATTTATTCTATCAAAACAGCTGCGGCATTTAATCACTTCAGTCCATTTATTAGATGAGTCACAGTGAAACAGTATTATTAATTGCATAACGTTCCGAACATACCATATTGTCCATGTTCATATCAGGTAACTGCACAACTTTGAGACATGGTTTATATAGTTCTGGTTCTTATCCTCTCTTTGTAATAAGTGTGGTATCATTTTCTATATATCTGGGACATGTACAGAATCACTCATTGCATGCATTTGGTGTTGATTCGATGAAGAAAGATTTGGTTATCAATCTCTCCCTCCAACCAATTAAGTTTTTAATACTGTCCCTCTTTCCCACCCTGTTGCGTGCAGTTGCATGGATAGCTATAGCAGAGCTTTTCTCCAAATTCACAAGGATCTACTAATTTTGATTTAGTCAAGTTTTTATGCTCTCTCATTTTAATTGATCCTAGTCGACTACTTTGACCTATGTATTTGACCTGGCAATCATTGAAAGGAATTTGACAAACTAAATTGTTTTGTCCAGTTGAATCGATATGGTCTTTTAACCCACAACGCTTGTTTCTATGGGAGTTTGTTGGTTTAAATGGAACTCCAGTCCCAGCCATGCTGACAATTCTTTGTAAAGCTTCCGAGGTGCCTTCTTTGTATGGTAACATATTAGAGGCTCTCCACCCCGTCAACATTAATACTACCACTATTATTATTAGTAGCAGAATTATTGTTGATAACTGTGTTGTACTATTGCTCATACTTTTCTTATGCTGTCTTATGAATGTATTTATATATTTAGCTGGGTAGTTATTGTGGCACAAGGTATTCTTAGTATGTTTAATTTATCGTCTTGGATTCTCTTTCCTGCTAGCGAGCTTTTCTGCCCTATTACTTAGACATCTAACCAAGCTTACTTTGGGGGAGAGAGGGAGAGATGAGTTTCTCTATTTCAACGAATAGTTTTGTCCCCACCGAGGTTCGAGACCGGCGGTCATAGTCTTAAACACTGTGAATGTGTCATGACAGTCACCTGTCATGCAAAATATGCTAATCCTAACCATGGCTTATTATTTTTGAATTACTGAACTAAAGTGATCGAGATTTCCTAATATGGGGTTCCTGCAGCCCTTTGGCTTAGCCACTTCAAACGTCGTTCAAACGTTGTTCCACTTACTGAGGTTTAGGGAGCTAGTTAGTATAACTAACCTTCACACAATAAGTGTGACTTATTGTCTACTGCATACATGTGCGAAAGGTTGCCGAGAGAATTCCGCTACTATAGTTATTGAAGCGTTTATAAATGGGTTGTCTGTCTATGTTTGACCGTGTGTGCAAAAAATGTAAACTGAGTTTGACTAACTACTTCAATACAAGTATAGTATTTGGTGCAATGAATGCAATTATTGTTATGTGACGCACTTCTTAGTCCCTTTGTTTTACCCATTTTGTGTTTAAAGTTTAAACCATCATTTTCGTGTCTTAGGTTAGAGATAGTCTACTGTTGCAATATGAGTAAGCATGCAATTCGGAATTTCTGACTTCATTATAAAGCTTTTATCATAATATTATGTTTCAGAAGTCGGATTTTTCGGCATTGTTTTTGTTATTTTTATCATCTTTTACTTCACGTAAATAGCTCCTTGATTTTTAGAAATTTCGGAGTAGTATTCTTATCCTTAGTTATTAATCTCCATTACTTGTAAGTTGTTACCGCCTGATTTATGTAATCGCCTTTAAGGAGATAGAGAACAATTTCAGATACTGGTCCACCCATTGGTGTTTATGCGTGTATCTAGTATCAACAGACCTCATACTACACACTTAATTTGCAGCCTAATGTATATACTTGAGTATATTTTCTTTTGAAGTCATATTGCTTTTACTATCATTTTCAGAGGACTGTGCTGTTTGACTGTTGGAACCAAAGAGCTCAATATTTGGTTGCAATTCTATGACTCTTTACTATGATAGTTGAGTTCTAGTTTCCAATGAAGATAGTTTATGTCTAAATGTCTTACAGTTTGTTTAAGGAAAGTCATCGGTACGACAGAAAATTACTCATATTAGTGTATTACCTCAGCTGATATACTTCATTACTTTGGCTGACAATATCTAAACCCTTAGCTAATTGCTATATTGTGACGCTTCGAAGTATTTCTGTCCATCTGTTTTCCCAAATGTTCCGTTTTTGAGTGTATTAGTTGACGGTAGCCAGTTTGGTAAAACTGTATCTTATTAGATTATCCAGTTTACTTGAAACCTCCAGCTAGCCAGGTAATAGTATCACTCACCCTCACACAGTAGGTGTGGTTCCTTGCTTACTGCATAAATGTGCATGTGGCTACTAAGAGCATTTTGCTTCGATTCTAGATGCCTAACGAACAAATACTTTTTTCAGAAGTTTGCTATACATATTTTTCTTCTGAATAGAGAGTACATTGAAAGTCATTTGGTGGATTTCGCTCGTGAAAATCCGGCAACTGTCGTTTATGTGAAACCGCGAAGAAATAGACCTCCTCTTCTGGTTGCTGAATATTGTGAGTTTTTATTATTTAAAGTATCTGACTTCCTTTATAGTGTGTGGTAATTGGCAGTATGTACATGCAAAGGATATGACCTGTGAAGAGATATCTAATTGGATAAACTTTCTACGTACTCGTTCTGGAGTACACATTCTCCCAATATATAAATATTGGTCAACTAAATATCCCTCAATTCAAGGCATGTGGCATCCATTCTACGAACCTTTAAATAGTCGAATCCCTGTGCAAACACCCGAGGAAATCGTCAGTAAAATTCGTCAACTTTGTCGATCTGGACATGAGAATGAAATGTCAGCTGAAGAAGCATTGTTAGAAAAAGCGAAACGCCAACAATATCGTATGTCTGATTCAAGCGGTCAGTAATTTTAGACAATGTAAATTACTTTTTACTCTGTTCAAATGAATACAGTGCATTTTTCTGTTGATCATTTATTTCAAATAAACACTACATTTCATTATAGAAGAATAAAAAGCACCGTAAACTTTATGCACACAAATGACTTTGTTTCAAATTACTTGGACATATATATTTTTAATTAGGATTACGTTTGAGATCTGAGATTAGTTTATTCAATATAGCACATAGTAGTGCAGTATGTATTACATATGGAATTATACTGTTCTGCAGTATCCAAGTTCTATTCATACACTACCTTCAGTTCCAGTAATAACGTGTACTTTTCGAGACTGGAAATCAATTCCATTTCAGTGTAGTCTGTTTCAATTATCAATCAATCAATCACTCAGTATCAACATGGCAGCTGGCATTTCTGCACAACGATTCAAGTTGGTATATCTGAAAGCAACACAAGATGCAACGCGATAAGGTAACAGAAAAGTAAGAATGACATCATAAAGGTAATGGAATAGTAATAATAATAACTTTCCCAGGGCATATTTTTGGACACCGTGAGTTTCTTAACGTGTAATATTTCGGCAAATTGATTTCTTGTGCAGCATTTTCAAATGAAATAGGCACAAGTAGATAGTGTGAATAATAGTAGTAATATTAGCAGTAATACATAAATGGGATACCTGTTTATTTACTGATACAGAATTGATGAATAAGTCGCATTCTAACATTTCTTTCCTCACCCAAGGTACGTTCTGAATATGGTAGGATCAAGATTTGTGTTTAACTGAATGAGAATAAAGTCTTGTGAACTTGTTTCCTGTTCTCATTGAGGAATAATATAGAAAAAAATATCATGAATAAAGAGTGCTCAGTTTTCTATAAAGCATCTGCAGTCCTTGAATAAAGAGAAAACGGATCAAACCAAAGAACGGAATGCGAAATAACGGTTAGCGTGATGAGATATGAAAGCATCTGCACCAGCAAGATCGATTTTCTGTCATATCACATGGAGTCAGCAACCATGAGTTTCAGTTGTTATGCGAACCCCAACTTGGAGGTTTTCATTTCCTCATAGGGTTCACACTGACAGTCAGAGACTCTATGACATGTTTTAGTCTGGTCACCCTTAACATAATTCTAGCTTAAACACACTTCAGCTAACATTTCGTGATAAAACATGTTGAACTATCAAGGCGGACCTTCTTCACCACCATCCTCACATTGTATCCAGAATCGACGGGTTTATTCTACCCAGTAAATGAATAACCGAGGTTATATACATCTGTTCATATTGCTGGCTATTTTAATTCAGTAGCTTATTGAATAATACTGTAGCTTTGAAGAAGTGGGTGTCGATTCATTTTTATGGTATATTCGCCCTGTTTCTATCACATGGTTATGCACGGACTGAGACAAATGAATTTTTTTAGGTTGAAGTCGGTTTGAGGTGTGGCATTTATAAACCTTATTGGAATTCTCAACGGAAACCCCGTTGACGTCACAGTTGGACTGTCAAAAAACACAGCTCTGGTAAAGGTCAACGTTGACCACGCAGTCTGTAAATACTTCTCAAATTGATCACACTAATTATTGGAATTCATCACACATTTACCGTTGGCTAACGTTTACTCCTCGCTGAGAAGAGCTTGATTTGTCCTGTTTGACAACCAGACTTGTTAGAGTTAGTGTGCACAAGTTTAACTTTGGATAGCACCTTAGTCGATAAAAGTATTGACAATCACTAAGACTACAGAATACTTGCTTACTTATTACCCTTAAGAAAAGCACTAGTTTGGTTAGATGATGGGTTTTAGATTCAACTGTGCAGATAAGACTTAGGGGTACATGCTAACATAACTGAAGTGCAAAATCATCTAAGTATTCAAATATCTAAGCTATCAGTTGTTGACACTTAACATTATTTTGGTAATATTTGAGGATCTCTTGACTTGGCAATAGTCTGGTGCTATAAAAGTGCAATGGGCAACTACCTGGCTGTTCAAACCTCTCGGTAAATGGAGCGGTGTTTAGACCAATAAACCAATAAGCCATAACTCCACTTTAATTTAAATCAAATTAGGTACAATGCCATTGAAGTAGTAAGGAACGTAAACTGAGTAAGAGTCTTTGCGCTGATCACGACTAGTAGTGGATGTCGAGTGCGAGCGAAATGAAGAAGGCATCAGGGTTAGGTAACAACCGGCAACTATCTAGGCTGACTAGAGAAACCGGGAAGAAGAAGACTATAGTGATTGGAAACATCACTGAAAATGGTGAGACGCTGATAATCTCCCGGGACAGGCGGCTAGAACTTTGGGCAGAACACTTTGAGGCACAATTTATCTGGCCCCCAGCAACTCTTCGGATACCCAACAACCAGCCTGAGCCTGAATGATAGATATCGGCCCTTGAACTCCCTGTGAAGTTTAGAAGTCTGTATCGAACCTGAAACGATGTAAAGCAGTAGAACCTGATAGTTTCGCACCTGAAGTTTTCAAGGATAGAGGTAAGAAATCCCTATTTAAAGTGACGGAGGTACTGCGTAGTTTATGGGGAATCAGAGGTAATGTCGTTACACGAGTATACTATGATCGTCGCAGTCTATAAGAAGGAAGAGAATTTTTCCTATGACAACCATAGGGGAATTATTTTGACTGATATCCTATCTCAACTTTAGACTACGAAACATGCCCATTGAGTCATAGAGAAGAGATAATTCAGCGTAGAAAATTTTCTTTTTCGACGATATCATTTTCTAAAGCTGTACAATCGTATTTATATATATCATAAACATATAACAGTCCATTATAAAACAATAGGGTATAATTACATCACTAACCAAGTGCTACGAAAAACCGAATCAAGAATGCAAAATAGTTGAGTAATAATCTAAGACAGTAGAAATATCGAGGAAGGCGAGGAGTTTGACAAGGTGAAAATTATTGGTAGATAAGAAACGCAAATATTGAGTGTCTACTTGATAGATAGGTGTAAAGAAGGTGAAGAATGAGACAAGGGTCATAATGAAGGTGATAGTAATAAACTAATTAATTATAATGAAATCGAAAAACAATGAGTGTTAAGACCATCGTAAGATGAGAGATTGAACATACTTCTTTTGCACGCAAAGATCAGGCTTGCATGGATGAATTGCCAGTGCCTCCGCTGTGCACAACTATCGGAGGCATACGATTTTTGAACAATTCCATCTGACACGATAAATGATATTGAAGGAAGATTCTGGTCTAGCTTTATGTCCAGAGTTGACCAACTGTTCAAGAATTGAACTGTTAATTGATTTACATTCTCCCGTCGACAACCATGCAGGATAGTGCTCCGAGATACGTTTGGAAAGCGTGCGCTTTATGCGGCCTGTATAACTAGCTCCACAGGAGCAAGTAAATTTGTAGACACACATCAAGGTGGCCTAAAGTGGTAACTTGTCCTTAATGCACTCCGGAGTGAGTTGTTGACTAGAGAAGCTGATCTGCAGTTTTGCAGAGAAGAATGTCTTCTTCAATGATCTGGACAGCCGATTCTTCAGGATCTCTGCTGCTGTATCGCCTTTGGAAAGAACGTTGATAAAGAGTTCAATTCTTGAACAGTTGGTCAACTCTGGACATAAAGCTAGACCAGAATCTTCCTTCAATATCATTTATCGTGTCAGATGGAATTGTTCAAAAATCGTATGCCTCCGATAGTTGTGCACAGCGGAGGCACTGGCAATTCATCCATGCAAGCCTGATCTTTGCGTGCAAAAGAAGTATGTTCAATCTCTCATCTTACGATGGTCTTAACACTCATTGTTTTTCGATTTCATTATAATTAATTAGTTTATTACTATCACCTTCATTATGACCCTTGTCTCATTCTTCACCTTCTTTACACCTATCTATCAAGTAGACACTCAATATTTGCGTTTCTTATCTACCAATAATTTTCACCTTGTCAAACTCCTCGCCTTCCTCGATATTTCTACTGTCTTAGATTATTACTCAACTATTTTGCATTCTTGATTCGGTTTTTCGTAGCACTTGGTTAGTGATGTAATTATACCCTATTGTTTTTTAATGGACTGTTATATGTTTATGATATATATAAATACGATTGTACAGCTTCAGAAAATGATATCGTCGAAAAAGAAAATTTTCTTCGCTGAATTATCTCTTCTGTATGGTATCCTATCCAAGATCCCAGGGTCCATATTTATGGGACGCTTTACTGTAGTTCGAGAACAGCAAACTGAAGAAAGGCCAGCAGGTTTCAGACAGAACTGTACAAGGGTGCATGGTTCATATTTTTACCCTCCAATAGGTGCTGTAACAGGCCTACTTACTGGTCGGTGGCAGACACTTGTCATATTTGTTGACCTGAATGTATCATTTGACTCTCGACCGTGAAGTGTTGTAGCAGCGTCTGATTGTGAAGGGAGTATCAAGGAAGAATATGCTGCTTATCAATGTTCTCTACTGAAACTTACGCAGCCGTTTAAGAGCTTATGGAGAGTTGTCTTCAGTTTGACGACAACTAGAGGTATTTGGCAGGGATGTCTACTGTCACCGTTCCTATTTAACTTCGTCTTAGACCTACTAATGGACATAACTGTAGGTACGTCTGACTTCCTTGGAGGTCTTCTGACTGACTGAGTATGTGGACGGTACTGTCCTGCTAGGTGAAGACACTAACAGAATTCAGGGTCTTATGAATACGTTGAGCAGAAATCTGAGTATGTTTGGCATACATCTCGCAGCTGTCAAATGTAGGATGGTGATCCAGGATTGATCTTCTGCAAACACCTAGTTTAATAATAGGGAGTGAAGTGGTGGGATGTGTCGACTACTTCACTTACTTGAAGATTTACATCGGCCCGAACGGCCTGGTCGCTGACGAAATCTCAGCTCAGATACAGAAGACCCGTTTGGCATTTATCAACTTGCGTCGTCTGTGACGCCGGCGAGATATCTAGCTGTCTTTCAAAGGACGAGTATACTGCACTGCAGCCAATTCT